GGTGGGGTGGTGGGGTGGTGGGGTGGTGGGGTGGTGGGGTGGTGGGGTGGTGGGGTGGTGGGTGGTGGGTGGTGGGTGGTGGGGTGGTGGGGTGGTGGGGTGGTTGGGTGGTTGGGTGGTTGGGGTGTGGTTCGGAGTTGGTTGAGGCTTGGTGGGTTGGTTTAGGGTTGGTTCAGGGTTGGTTCAGGGTTGGTTCAGGGTTGGTTTGCGGTGGGTTTCGGGTGGGTTTGGGGTTTGGGTTGATTTAGGCTTAGGGTTGGGGTTAAGGAGGGGTTGCAGGGTGGTTTGGTTTAGGGTAGGATGTTGCGAGAGGTGCGGGGGTGTTGGTTCACGGGGTGAAAGGGGGTCTGGGACCGAAGCTGCAGGGCTCGCACGGTACTGGACAGCATCCCCAGCATTGCCAGCATCATCCCCAAGATGCGGATGATGCGGGGGAATGGGGGGACCATACCATTGGGGGGGGGGGGGTACGTGGCCCAGGGACTGGTACATATATGTATTTATGTATGCAGTGTATGTATATATGTATGTATATGTATGTATATGTATGTAATGTATGTAATGTATGTAATGTATGTATGTATGTATGTAAAGCAAAGTAAAGTAAAGTAAAGTAATGTGATGTGATGTGATGTAATGTATGTACTGTATTGTAATGTAATGTAGTGTAATGTAATGTAATGTATGTATGTATGTATGTATGTATGTAATGTAATGTAATGTAATGTAATGTAATGTAATGTAATGTATGTATGTATGTATGTATGTATGTATGTATGTATGTATGTATGTATGTATGTATGTATGTGTATGTATGTATGTATGTATGTATGTATGTATGTATGTATGTATGTATGTATGTATGTATGTATGTATGTATGTATGTATGTATGTATGTATGTATGTATGTTATGTTATGTTATGTTGTGTTATGTTTTGTTTTGTTAGGTATGCATGCATGCATGTATATATGTATGTATGTATGTATGTATGTATGTATGTATGTATGTATGTATGTATGTATGTAATGTATGTAATGTATGTAATGTACGTAATGTATGTAATGCATGTAATGTATGTAGTGGGTGCAATGTATGTAATTCATGTAATGTAATGTAATGTAATGTAATGTAATGTAATGCAATGTATGTATGTATGTATGTATGTATGTATGTATGTATGTACGTTTTGATGTAAGTACTGCAATGTACTGTAATGTAACGTAATGTACCGTAATGTAATGTAATGTAGTGTAATGTGATGTATTGCAATGTTTGGTAAGGCAAGAACAAATACGCTAATGTATTGTAGTGTAGTGTAAGGTATTATAATGTAGTGAAATGTATGTATGTGTGTGTACGTGCCATTTTAATCTAAAGCAGTGTAATGGAATTCATCACATTGCACGGTAACGTAGTGGTATGTACTGTGTGTTTGTACCGAAGCCCAGCCGCCCAGCCGAAACCAACTCGAAGCCGCTGGCGATGGGGGAGGGGGGCTCGAGCTCGGTGCCGCCGCCTCATCCGCTTAGAAAGCTTCCAGCCACGCCGGACCAGCGGAGAATTCTCCTGTTTGATTTGCATGGGTTCCGTTCTATAGGCATGTGGAGTGGACTGCAGACCAGGAAAGCTGGGGCAATGGAAAGGATGGTCGCACTTCTTGGGAGTGCAAAGTCCGACTCAGGCTGGGCCATGGGTTGGGGGGCCCGACGGTCATATCTTGAAAGCCTACCATGGAAGTTCTGCGCGAGTCAGGCAAACAGCAAGCCGGCAAGACCTATGGCTGAAGACGGCGATGTCCGCGAAGATAGCTAGGGCTCTGGCTTGGCAGTTTTAATTGATTTGACCTGCCGCAAATTAATCCATGCACAGTGCCATTACCTCCCAAGTACCCGGCTATCTCATGCTATCTAGCTGTCCCTGGAGTGAGGGATGCACAAAAGCCATCATGCATTTTGCGGACAGCTGGGCACTTGCGAATTCGTTCCAAGATGGCAGTGCAGAGCAACGCAAGATGCGTATGCAAGTAGTCTTTCCTTTTATGGCTTGGATTTGTTGAGATGTGACCTTTCACAGAAAGGTGACATGCCTGTACATGCTGTGTGCTCGGCAGGAGGCCGCCCAGATTTGCAGTTTGAGCGGCGCGCTCCGCCAACATGTATGGAGCTTGCTAAGGGTGCGGCCCAAAGTGAAGGTGCATCGCACTGCATGACCTTGGCGCACTCTTCTGAGGCGATCAAAAGAGCTTGCGTGGGCATCAGTCCGTGAAGTCTTTAGAATCGATTGAAATCCCCAAATTTCGCGGATACATGATTGATGATCGTAATGCAAGGTCGTGGTTCTGAAGAAGCAGGGCCACCAGCCACTGGAATTTCTGTCCCAGACATTTTAAGGCGCGGGATGCGCAAAACTTTGGCCGGGCATTGGGAAGGAGGAGCACGCCTGAATTTGGTATGGGCTCGCCACTGCCATCCGAGCAGCGATACAGGCCACCACTACATGATGTGGTGCAACGGCTGGCCTCTTACTGGGCTTTTTCGACGGCAGTTTCAAGGAAGCCTGGCAGGGTAGGTCACACGGTTTTATTGCACCACACGCAAACGTGAGTCTGTGACTTTGTCCAAGGTTTCACTCTTTGTGCGTCAGTGATGCCTTTCAGAAGGAGCCAACACCACATCAGGCGTGGAGCTTGCAGGGCCCTTGCCAGGACCTGGCAGGCAAAGCCACGGAACGCGAGTTGCGCACTCGGCTGTTGCTTGCTTTATAAGGCAGCAGGGCCCTGACACCATGCGCCTGTCCATGCTCCGGCATCCTCGTTTGGACTTCCGCTCGCTGTTTTTGGCCCGCGTCCTTTCGCGTAGATTGAATTCACGCATAGGGTGGGCATTGTTGAATAACATGATGGTGTAGAGTAGGTACTCCAACGGGCGCTTCCTGTAACACCATGAGGCACTACAAGAATGTAACTGAGGCCCTGTGTTTTGAATGAACTCAGCTGAGTGTGATCTTTATGCTCACGACATCGTAGCACCCATGGGCTGACGCACTGGGATGCCCCAAGCGCGCCTTGGCCTGACTTCCGCGCAGCGCAGATGCGGTAGTTTGCAGTCCTCAGCGTGCAAAGCTTCATTGCCCGCTCGCCGCTTTGGATGCAGGGCTGGGGCAGAGGAGGAGACCAATGTCCGCGTCGCGGCTCGGGTGCGGCCTTTGCTGGCGCGCGACACAGCACAGCGGCTGGGCATTCAGGGCAAAGGGCCGCAAAGAGATTCTGAGGCCCCCATTTTCCAGTTGCAATATTTTCCATGTCGGTTCCAAGAGCTGCCCGTGCTGGGGCAAAGGAACTACTGCAGCTGCATCACTGCCCAGCCTGGCACCAACCAACTTGTAGTCGGCACTCGGAGAGGCTTCACGCCTGGGTCCCAGCTTGAGATTTGTGCGCTATGAATGATCTCCACGTTATCTCCTGGCAGCCGCTTGCAGGTTCGACTTGGTTTTTGACACCGATGCCAGCCAGTCATCCGTGTACGTGGGATGCGTGTCCCAATTGCTCGAGGGGAGCATGTGCCTTGGTAGCATTTCCTTTGATGCGGCAACAACTAGCCGCACAGCATGACTCAAGGCAAGGCTACAATGCCACTGTCCTCGCATATGGGCAGACAGGACTACTGATGCTTTGCCAAATTAAGATTGATTGTCAGCTGTCCAGGATCTGGCAAAACCCACACAATGGGAACTGGCCAGCCAGTTCCTGAAGGAAGTGATGAGGAAGGCATTGTTCCGAAGGCAGAATCTTTCCTTGAATCCTTGACTGGCCGCCTTGGCGGAGGAGTGTAAAAAAGCTGCAGTTGTGACAGGTGATTCGCAACAGCTTCCATCATATCGAGAAGCACAAGGGCAGTGTTGACTTCAAGGCACGCGTGCACTTCCGTCGCCGCCCAGCAGTGCCTGTGTTTGCCCATTTCTCTTGTGCTTGGTGCATGAAGGTGTCCTGCTGCTACCTTGAGATATACAATGAGGACATCCGAGACTTACTGCAGCCAGGAGGCCAGGTCATGAGAGCACTTCAGCTTCGCTTTTGCCTCTACTTCCCTTTGCTTCCCACTTCCCAGCTTTCCAGGACACAAGGGCCACATTGCAATTCGGGAGGATGCAACTGGCGGGATCAAGGTCACCGGCATCCACGCAGAGACATGCTCCTCAGCAGAGGAGATGTTCCGCTGCCTCAGCGATGGCTCCGTCCAGCGGACCACAGGGGCCACGCTCATGAACGAGCAAAGCTCCAGGCATGGACCTTTTTTGCAGCACGGAGAAGGATTTAGGTCACACCTTGCCTCACCTGCACACACTTCTTCTCAATTCACCCCATGTCCAGGTCACACTCCATTTTCACCTTGATCTTGGAGCAACGGCGGCGCTTGACGAACGGAGGAGGTGAGGGGAGCGAGGAAGATTACGTGACCGCCAAGTTTCACTTGGTGGATTTGGCTGGCTCGGAGCGTGCTAAGCGCAGCTCGGCCGGAGATGACCCTGAGTGGGTTCGCAGGCTTCGCGCATCCTAGCGCAGTGAGGTACGGGTGCAGTTGGCAGCCGCTTCAAGGAGAGTGTGGCAATCAACTCGGGCTTGCTGGCATTGGGGAATGTAATTTCAGCACTTGGGGATCCTGCAAAGAGAGGACTGGGCTTGGATGAGCTTGAGCGAGAGAGTTCATGCGCGTACCACTGCCATTCAAGTTGGGTCACCCACCCGGGCTTGTCAGACGAGCGCGGGTGCAGTTGACAGGCAGTCATGTGCCGTACCGGGAGTCCAAGCTGACAAGGCTGCTGCAAGACAGCTTGGGAGGCAACTCCCGCACAGCTTCTCGACCAGGTCGTGCTTGATGATGGGCCTTGTTAGAGTCATTGGCCCTTGCTCAGTAGCTGGATTGATCTCTCAGGTCATGATCGCTTGCGTCAGTTGTGCGGACATCGACTTTGAGGAAACTCTGAACACACTCAAGTATG